GGCCACTCCCGGCCACCGCAGCCTCGACCTGCTGGGCTCCGGTGATCCTTTCGCCTCAGCCTTCCAAGTAGCCGGAATTACAGGCCTGCGCTACCACACCCGGCTGATTTTTTGATTTATTGTAGAGATGAGGTCTCGCTGCCCAGGCGGGTCTCGAACCCAACGGGCTCAGGCAACCCACTCACCTCAGCCTCCGAAAGGTGCGGGATGACAGGCTGAGCCACCGAGCCCGGCAGCCCCATTTTCACTGCACGTTAGCTGTGTGATCTTGAGCAAAGTTACTCAACTTCTCAGAACCTCAGTTCAGTCATCTGTAAAATGAGTGTACTGTCAACTCCACTGAGTTTAATGAAAATCCAATGAAGAATCACATGAGGCCAGGCGTGGTAGCTGATGCCTGTAATCCCAGCACTTTGGAGTCAGAGGTGAGAGGATTGCCTGAGTCCAGGGATCTGAGACCAGCCTGGGCAATTTGGTGAGACCTCTGTCTCTACAATAGCTTTTTAAAAAGTTAGCCGGGTGTGATGGTGCACACCTGTGGTTCCAGCTACTTGGAAGGTTGAGGTGGAAGGATCACCTAAACCCGGCAGGCTGAGGCTGCGGTGATCGGGAATGTGCCATTGCACTTCAGCCTGAGTGACAGGGTGAGACTCCAACTCAAAAGAAAAAACAGCAACAACAAAAAGAGAATCACTTGTGCCTGGATTATCACATAATGTGGGTGCACAATTATCAACCTAGCACTTTGAACAACTGTAATGCGACTCTGCATTTTGTCGCCAGGACGTTAATAAGGCAAGAAGACACACTGTCCTATACAATTTTTAGAGCATCTCCTGAAATTTGTTTGTGGAGAAAAATCGATATATACTCACAATGTGTCACCAATTACCCAGTGCAGTGACCTCTGTCTTCTTCTTGGTAAAATGAGTGCAATGATATTACTTATCGATCTTTGCTGTTGAAATTGTAGATAACGCGTCAAAGAGTTCACCCAGAGCACACGGGTGCACGTGTATGAGCATGTGTGCACACATACACGTGTACACACGTCTTGAGCGTATTCCATTCAGTGCTGATAATTTAATTCCTTGTGGTTTATTTATTAGGTTGAAAACATCCTACTAATTTGCCATTACTTAATCTATTAACTCTGACTTGGGCCCAAGGGGCAACTTCTCAGGGAGAAAATACTGAATATCTGTTGAATATAAAGGCTAAAAAGCTACATCGGTGCATTGTACAGATATGTCTTTCTTATGAACTCAGAAAGGGTTGTCTCTCCACACGTTGCTTGCTCTCCTTCAGACATGTATCTCTCCCCACCCCAGTTGGAGAGCCAACTTTAATTTTTTAAGTAGACAATCTTTTAAGAACACTTTTAGATGTACAGAAAAACTGAAATGATAGTACAGACAGTTCCTACATACCTTGGACCCCATCCCTCCCATGATTACTATCTTACACTTGTACAGAGTATGTGCTATGATGATTGAACCAATTTTAATGAATGAACCAGTTTATTATAAAGACCGTCCTTTATTCATTCACATGCCTTTAGTTTGTGACTAATGTCCTTTGTTCTAGGGATCAGACTCAAGACACCACATTATGTTTAGTCGTCATGTCTCTTTGGGCTTCTCTTGACTGAGACAATTTTTCAGACACTCCATGTTTTTTACGAGTTGAGCGTTTTGGCGAGTCACCAGTGGGGATTGTGTATAATGTCCCTCAGTTAGGGTTCATCTGTTTTTTTCCCTCTTGATGAGACTGGAGTTATGGGTTTTGGGGGGAAAGATTACAGAGGTGAAGTGCTGTTTCTGTAGCATCCTCTGCAGGATACATGCTAGTAACATGCCTTATCACAGATGATATACTAATATCAGATCCTAATACTAATATCATCTGTGATAAGGCACTTTTCTTCTTGTACTATTATGAAACAGTTTGTTTTAATACTTAATTTCTTTCTTGATGATGTTGAACTTGGTCACCAGCTGAAGTGTGTGAGAGATGTTTCTTCACTGTAAAGATAACCTTTCCCTGTCTTCCACACTATACTCTTTGGAAGAAAGTAAATATGCAAAGCCTACACTTTAGGAGTGGGGAACTGGGCTCTTCCTCTTTGAGGATGGAATATCTACTTAATTTATTTGGAATTTTATATGAGATATGTCTTTTCTCCATTTAATCATGTACTCAATCACTAGATTTAATTTGATTAAAGAATTCAGGGTAAAAATTAATTGGCTCAACATATTCCTTCTTAAATTCCAGGGCAAGAGAGTCTCATATCCTCTGTTCCCATTTAGATTTAATTTCATTCTTATTTGAACACTTAATACATATAAAACTCTAGGTCTGTTGAGGCTGTGAAGATGACTGAGGTAAGGCTCCCTTGCTGAAGAAACCGTCCTCAGGGGCAGACAAAAATGTGTACGGTGAACACAGCAAACAAGTGCTGCAGCTGAAAGCAGAAGTGCTTTGGGAACACTGAGGAGATAGAAGTTAATTCAGGGAAGGCTTTTGTAAAGAGGTCCAAGGCCAGGGTCAGCTTCTTGGATATGTAACCAGGTTGTCCCACATGAATCACACTTGGGTTTAATGCTCTATGTAGCCCTCTTGAAATTCTTGTCTTTGAATGTGTGTTTGCTTAGCAAAGTCCAACTTTGCTGGTGCTCAGAGCCTCAGCACACATGAAGCCCACCCTCTGTCCCTTCCTCCCCTCCCAGCAGGGGCTTCAGGGTTCCTTCCAGCTCACTAGCATCCTGGGCTCATTTAGCCTCCCCATCCCTGGCCTCACCGTACCACCACTGCTGCCCTCTGCCCAGAGTCACGACCAGGTGGCAGGAGGATGGGGGGAGGCATATTCTGCCTCTATCTTTCCCCACTGGGGATCTGGCAGGTGATATGGTGGGTGACTTGGCCCCGGGAAATCCTCCTTCCGCCTTCCAACCAGAGACTGCAATTTTTTTTCCGGGGGGGATCACTCAGCACTTTGGGTTGGTGCAGCAGGCCCACGGAGAGGGGAACTGTCAGCCCAGCAGTAGCTACAGGAGATACCCACAGCGCCCAAGGAAGGGGAGTACAGCCAAGCAGCAAGACGCAAACACTATGGCAGGACAAGAGAGAGGTCACAGAGGAAGAGGAAAATTGTATATTGTAGTATTTTAGCAGGACTTGTTTCGACAGCACTGCGTGAAGAAGAGATTCTGCATTTCCATGTTCCACTGGGCCCCACAGACTACAAAGCCTGCCCTGTCTGAAACAGTGCTGAGAGCAGCTGAGAAGTAGGTTCTGGAGTCAGAATGCCTGGGTTCAAATAATGTCTCCAGCACTTTTTAGTGGTGTGAACTCGGGCAAGTTTACCTAACCTCGCTAAACCTCAGTTTCTTTCTCTGAAAAACAGGACAGAAAGAGCACCTACCCCATGCTATTTTCATTATATTGAGTGAGATCATGTCTGAAAAGCCACCATCACTGAGAGACATTCTCATACTCTGCCCTCCCTCCCCAGCTACTCAAAACATTTGCTTCTCTTGCCAGATCCTAAAGAAGGGAGTTTCTCTACCTTACAGCTTCTGTGTATGCTCCATCTTACAGTGTATCCACCATCTTTGCCCCCTCACATGCAATCCTGACAGCATCAGAAGCTTTCACAAGATATCTCATTGTATCCAGCCATATTCAAAGAGAATTTATAGAATGCATGACCAAACACATTGAGCACTAACTATGTACACAGCCCTAACCAGCATGCTACTCCTGGCTCCCAATCAGCTAGAGAGCTCACAGAAACATGAGTATCATACAATGCCTTTTCAGGTAGGAAAATCCCAGCTCAAACATTAGCAAAGAAGTTGGGTGGAATCTGGTTGCGGAAACCAATTTGGAGTTATGTAAAGTTTGAATGCCAAGCAAAACCCCAAATCAGCATTTCTTAAACTTGTTCCAAGATATTAAGAAATGTTCTTAAAATTCTAAGGGTTCACAGTCAAATAAGTTTAGAAAATAATTCACACATTTCCTTCTTAGTATACATTAGAATTTATAATTAAAATAATCTGATAAAATCATATGACTCCAAGTTTCCCAGATGTATTGATCATGGAACCCTTTTAATCATGAGACATCTACCATTGTCTTAAAGGACATTAGCTACTTTCTAAAACATAGTTTAGGGTTAAACTGCTTGAAGAAAGAAACTGATGGTTTCTTATTTATTATCTGATGCTCAGTGCTCAGACATAGAAGGCACGCAATATTAATTTAGTGAATGAAAAAATTCATGATTCTTTTATTTTGTTTTTGTCTAGTCTTGAACTTTGATCATAAGCAACATGTGTCTAGTCACTTAAAAACACATTATGTCAACACAAAGTCCCCATTGAAACTGACAAGGTATATGTCACTAGCACCATACTACGAATGGAGAAACAGAAGCTCAGAGAGACTGAACAACTTGACCAAGGTCACACAGGTAGTTAAAGTAAGAGCCTGAGCTGAAAATCCAATCTTCCAGTTTTAGATCCTATGTTCTTTTCATCGCCTCTAACTAGAAAATAACATGGAAGCTTGCTATGGTATTATTTAGACAAACATAAATGAAGCACTGACCTCAAATAAGCGCAAGACTTTGGCCAGAGCACCAACTTCTTCTTTGAGGGAGAAGATCAGTGATATAGCACCATCTTGATTGGAGTTTTCTTCAATATAGCTTGTTTCCTACAGGTTAAAGTGTGCTTGGTTAAAATGTGTTCCAATTAATTCCCAGTAAGACTCCAAAGACAAGGCTAGCATAAACTCTTTCTTCTAGTTAAGCCTTGGAATACAGTGTGGAAGCATGTAGTGTAGTTGAAAATAAGTGCTTCAAGGGCAATTAAATGATCGGCGATGCTATTGGGTGAGTTTTCAACTTGAGAAAGCGTTGATTATACACTGATGTCACCAGTCAACCCTTATAAATTCAATTCCTTTTAATGAGCATCTACTTAAGTTCTGGGCTCTATTCAAGTTCTGAGAAATACAAAGATGAATGTAAGACAATGTCCTATGCTGTAAGACCTCATAATCTGACTTAGACACATATACAATAAACTAAAAGATCCTTAGAGTGCTATAAAATGTTTCATAAAATGTCCCAAGAAAACAGTGTGGAAAGTGCGACAAATGGGACAGGTTTTGAAGCCCAAAGACCTGGGCTGGAACCCTCTTTCACTTTCCCATTTGACCACTTTGGACAGATCACTCAGCCTTCTTAGTTATCTCACCTGTCAAAGCACACTAACAATAAGCCCTGTCAAAACATTATTCAGATAATGGGAAAAAAAGGAAAAGGTAGGCTTAAATAGCTTACTCTAAGAGAGATATATAAATGATGGAAATATTTATAAGTACACAAGAATGACCTCTTGGCTTTTGGGAAAAAAATCTCAGGAAGCTTTAACTGAGATCTGAGACAGCAAATTGTTGAAAAAGAGTCACAAAACTACATAAAAGTATGCAAATAATCTATCAGAAGATGGATGTCTTAATCTAAATTGCCAAGAATGTCTGGGATCTAGCGCTACATGCATGTGCTAGCAAACTAAGGTGAGATTGGGGATGACATTCCAGAGTTTGTTAAAACATTTGCCTAAGCTTTGAAACACTCTACAAAGTTCTCTGTATCTACCAATAAACAGCATGTACCAAAAACTGGAAAGAAAAAAGTGTGCAGAACAATTACCCTCTTGTGAGCAAGTTAATGAGATTAGTGGAATGAATGTTACATCATCGCAGTGAGAGAAGGCTGTGCTGGAGAGACTCTCATCAGTGACTCAGAATAGCAAGCCCTGCATAGACACCGATGACCCTTAAGACAAGATTCTCTCAATTCAAAAAATTCAGATTTTTCCCAGAACCTCACATGAAACAGGGATGTAGGGAAGAACCAAATTTATCAACAAGTGTGATTATAGGGAGCTTCAAATGAATTCGAAGACTTAACTGTTAAAAATCCTTATTTTGATCACGATGTTATCTGTCTAGAAAATGTAATGCATACCATTTATTCAAAGCCTGTAATGTCCAGGTAGCAAAAGAAGCACTCTTTTTTTGTGCTAGAATAAGCACTGAAGTAATTTTGGTAACAATCTAGGAGGTAGGTTTTAATATGCATCATGTACCCCCTTTGAATGATGACAAAATTAAGGCTTAGAGAGCCTAAGTAACTCACCCATAGTTCCACAGTTAGCAGTAGAGCGGAGTCTCAACCCAGGTCATTTGATCCCTGCAAACTGTCTATGAATCACAACCTCTTTCAGACTCTATTCCCTACCTTCTCCCCCCACCCCCGTCACAATCCCTGCCATAAAGGTACAGATGAGTATCTCATGTCAGTCTTCTTCCTCCTACCAGGGAACCCTTTGTACCTTCCAGTTTCCTTGAAATGGCAAAGGACTTCCCTGTTTCTAGTTAACTTAATATCCTTTTCCCCCGTTGGCCTCCAAGAAAAGGCAGATATCCCTGACACACCCCAACAGATGCCACCTTTGACTAGGTAATCCAGACTTGAACGCAGCTGGGCTTGAAACTCAATCACTCCCCAACCCCCACTACACTCCTGTGTGTGTCCAGCTAGGCACCAAATCCAATATGATCTTCAGACATGACTCTGGTGTCAGGTTCTTCTTTTGTTCCCACTGACATCATTGCCTGAATCCAATTTTTGGTGACCTGCATCCAGCCTAACAGAACTTTGCTCACATCCTTCTTCTACTCAGAACTTTTCAAGGCTCTCTCCCCATGGCCATCAGGGGAAAATGTCTCTTGCCTATATTCAGATATTCAACAGTCTCCGTGGCATCTCACTTCCCGAGGGCCACTCACAGGAAGTTCCCCTTCAGCCCAACTGGTTTCTTCCTGGCCTTTTAACTCCTCACTCTAGTAAATGACTGAATCCCCCTTTCCAGTATCTCACCCTTCCTCAAAGACCCTCCTAGGTCTCACTTCTCTCGGAAAACCTTCATGGTCCTCAGTCAAGGTGCACCACCATCCTTCGTCCACACATTCCCTTGGCTTCTGAATCCACTGAGGACTTGATCATAATTGACGCACAGAGCTAGATTTTTGCTTAGCGCTCCTCTAGTTCAACTCCCTCATTTAACAGATAGGGAAACTCAGGGCCAAAGGGAGAAGATGATCCATGTGAGTTCATGCAAGAATTCAGGATCCTAATGATTACCTTTGCTGTGGACACAACGAGAGGATTTAGTCCTCTCTTCCTACAAAGCATAAGATTGATCGTGGTCCAACCACTAGACAGTTACTCAGTCCTACCCTTAACAGCCTACATTTCACCCATGCCCATCCTCTTTCACTCATTCCCTTCTTTTTAATTTTTTTTTATTTTAAAGATGTGGGGTACAATTCAAGCTTAGGTTTGCAAATGTTCATTATGCAGGTACCCTTGTTGATAAGGTGTGCCTCCCCACCCCTGGGAGTTTCCCACCACTGCCAATCCCTTTCTTATATAGTATTATGACACTTGTTCAAGGTCCGATTATGAGTGAGAACATGTGGAGCTCCTTTCTTTGTTTCTGTGATAGATCACTCAGTATTATAGACTCTACGTCTAAATCAGTGTTTCTCGGTGAGTGTTCCTTGGATTGCTATTCCAAAATAATCCCACGGAAAATTTTGGAGCCAATAAGAAGTATATAGCCTGTAATCCCTCGCTTGGGGAGGCTGAGGTGAGTGGATTGCCTGAGCCCGCGGGTTCGAGACCCGCCTGGGCAACTTGGCGAGATTTCATCTCTACAATAAATCAAAAAATCAGCCGGGCGTGGTAGCGCATGCCTGTAATTCCAGCTACTTGGAAGGCTGAGGCGGAAGGATCGCCGGAGCCCAGCAGTCGAGGCGCGGGAGCGGCCACTGCACTCCAGTCTGGGCGACAGAGTGAGACTCCAACTCAAAAAAAAAAAAAAAAAAAAAAAAAGAAGTATATAGCCTATTTTAAAAATTATAACTTTTCTCAAATGTGTCTGAAAATTCACATTTACTGTATGACAAGGCACTACTCTTGGTTGTAACTAATATTAGTACTAGGACTTGCCATTGACTGAGCACCTGCTGTGTGCCAGGAGCCATACTTGGTACTTTTCACAGTAAACAAACATTATGATTGGCAACAACTCGCACCCTTCTAAGGGTTTACATTCAATGGCTCATCCAGTTCTCACAATAGCCCCATGGGGTAGGTGCTGTTATTTTTCAAATGAAGAAGTAGACTCAGCTTAACCCAAGGTTAAGTGGCTTGGACACCCAGCTAATGAATGGCAGATTCTAGACTTGAACCCAAGTGCAACAACTCCAAAGACCTTATTCTGTCTCCTAGAGACAGACACACCTGGGACAATTGCACCTTCTTTTCAAACCATGAAAGACTTACAACCAAAGAACAGCGCATAGAAGTTTGTGACATGTTGTGGTCTGGGATAGATTCAGATTCCATATTCTGACACTGCTGTGTTGAAGTCAGTCGTGGGCCCTTGAGAAAATCTCTTCCAAAATAAGTTTTCATTGACTCAGAAGCTATACTTTGTTTTAACAGATATGTGAGTTGACTTACAAACACATGTACACTCAAGATGGGTAAAGGTAGAGAAAAGAAACTATATTGGAAGGAAGAGAGCCGGGAGAAAGATCTTTGCTAGTATGAGGAAGGAAATAATTTTTACCATCGAGCAACATATTCAGCAGTAGAAGTATGTTCTCTTTAATTGCATATAACAAATATGCTGTGTTATCTTCGGGAAGGAGCAGTTTATTTAAAAACAGTACACTTTGGCAAAGATACTCCAGAAGTACTGACTTTCAATCTTAGTGCTTATTGAGGTCATGGTAGGAGCTATGTAATCACACACATACATCTGTAGTGTGAAATGACTGAAAGAAACAAATTCGTTCTGGCTAGATCAACACGATGGCACTTTCCTACGTTCCAGGCACCATTTCGTGAATTGTCATGCCAACCTAAGACATCAGTACTTTTATTCCTATTTTTCACATGAACAAACCTGAGGCTCCTCAAAGGTAAATGCCTGCTTTTGGTGCAGTGGTGTGGCATGCTTGAAACGCCCCTCTCTACTCGTGCCCCAGCCATTGGCCACGGCAAGAGATGCATTCCCAATCTTCCAAGTGCTCCATAAACAAAGCTTTAAGCCCCTGTGCCACCCTGACCAGACCACTGCCCTAGCCCCTCCCACGGTTGTGGGGACCCAGCTGCCAGTAGCACAGAAATTAAATGGGGGCTGGAGCCAGGACCTGTTCTGGGATCTGCCTAACGCTCACACTGTTCCTCTTCAACACCAAGTTCTCCTGTCTCCCAAGCACTGCACGCCATTTTCGTAGGAAGCCTTTCGCTCCAAAAAAAGTCAGTCCAAAGTTCTGCATTCTCTCTAGTTACATTAACTTTAACATCCACCTTCTCTTCTCTCCAGTCTCCCTGGTCTCTGCGGACGATCGTTCTCTCTAAACTACAAAATACAGGACCTGCAGATACAGGTTGTTCCCCAGGTCTGGGCTTTACATCTGAATCTGAGTCTAGGTGTATGATTTCCTGCCTTGGGTGAATATGGAAGTCAGTTTTTGAAATGTATACTGCAATAGTGCACCTCAAGAGAATGCCAGCAAACCAGGGCACTTCCCCAAGCCACGCGGAGGGTTCTTTCTCATTCCGCTCTCAAGGCTGGCTTGGTCACTTTCCCTTCTCACAGAAGAGATCCAGAATACCACGCGCAGGCAACAGAGAGGAACAGTGACCTGCTGAAAGACACACAGGACTGCTGGTGGCAGTCCTGAAAGCCAGATCCCCCACCCCTTGGAGCAGGGCTTTTCCCCCTGAACCCCACACAGATAGATGTTCTCCGTGTTGAGGACCTATCTTGTCTGTTTCGGTGAACCCTTGTCTCGTCTTGTCTTTGAACCCTCTCCCTGGGGCTTGGAACAGTCCCTTCCCCAGCGGCGAGGCCCGCCCTGGCTCACCTGTCCGAAGTCGGAAAGCTTCCTGCCCAGGCCTTGGCTCTCCAGGACCACGGCGCACATGCTGCTCGGAGGAGGTCTGGCCCTGGGGTCTGTCGCAGGCGGTTCGCAAAGGGTTTTAACCTGGCATTCGGGGAGAGCTGAGACTACAAAGGTGTCTCCCGCGCACCTGGCTCAGCAACGCCCTCAGTGGGCGTCGTCCTGACGCAGCGGAGGTGGGAGGGTTGGGACAGCCGCCTCCTGCCCAGGGTCACCCGCCCGCGAAACAAGAGACAGCCCTGGGGCGCAGCGCGAGGCGGGGGGTGGGGGGTGGGGGGTGGGGGGTGGGGGGGGGGTCCGCCAGCGCGCGGGGACGCTTCCCGGGCTCCTGGATTCCAACAAACTTGCGACCACATGCTGGTGCCAATGACACGAGCGATCTCTTCCCCCCTTGAAACACAGTCAGGGTCCTAATTTAGATCTGCTTGTTTTGTTAACCTCTAAGTGACTGTCTTGATGTGCTTGGACTCAAGACCGCAGGTGGATGGCTTTGTGAACGCCGGCACATTTGCAAAGGGAAGGACTGCCTGGGTGCGAATCCATCCTGTGTTCCCCCACACAACCCTGGAAGCTCCGGAGAGAGGACAGTTGGAGCACCTTGCCGGGATGTTTCAAGAGCAGGAGTAAGAATAGGAATGAGGAGACGCGTTAAAATTCAGTCCAGTCTCGCCACATACACTCTCAGGGGATGCATGCTATTGTTTAAAAGTATGTCCACATCCATTTGACAAAAAAATAATCATTGAGGGCCTGTACTATATGCCAGGCAGTGTTTCAGGCATGGGGGATACAGCAGCAGACGCAGGACCCTGCCTCCTCCTGACGTGCTGCCATGCTGATGGGCAGACAGAAAATACGCAAACCAATAAGGTTAGGAAGGCCCAAGTCTTCTACCCACCTAGGAGGTCGAGGGAGGATGTTGGGGAGAGGTCCTCAAGGAGGTGGGGGATGTCATGAGCCAACAGTTTTTTCAGATGAGGAAACTGAGGCAAGGCATTAGTGGCCAGCAAAGGAAAAATGTGAAAAAACACTGGAAAGTCAGAGATTCAGAAAGGCTTAGAAAAATCAGGGATCTCGAGGCCTTGAGCACCTGCTTAATACTTTCTCAGAAGAGGTTAATGAGCTGTGGGCAAGTGAGCCAATAACAGAGATTGCTGGACATCCACCCCCTTCCTCCCACCGTCCTTTGACCAAGCACATCTGCTGAAAAAGAATAACCAAAACCAAAAACAAACTCAGGGTTGGCTTTAAAGCCGCAGGCAGCTGTATGGCTCATTTGTCACTTCCGTGCCTCCGTTGTTTTGCCTTTAAAATGGGGATTTCAAGGGCTGTTGCTTAGAATTCCTTGAGCCTCTAAAATGTGCCAGGCTTTCGACTGTCTGCTAAGAATATGATACTTTCTGTCCAAAAGGCATCCGTGGGGGTCTGATTAATGTTTCCTGTACTAAGTGGGAAGTTCGATGACGTTGAACATGAAATGACCAGACCTTGACTTCCGCGCTCTGCATCCTTTGTCTGACTCCAGTAGTAGACATCAAATGCAGTGCTTTCCTCAGCCTTAGGGTTGCTTTACAGATGTCATTTCATCCCTTGATGAGGCTGAGGTGGTAAAGAGGGCAGTGAATGTGACAGCACCTGAAATATAACAGGCACACTATAAGTAAAAGTGAATAACGCCAACTACTTATTTGAGTGCACACTGTGTTAGACACTGTGGTACGCTCTCTATGTGCATACTTTCATTTCTTCCTCTCATCATTCCTGTGAACTATGCACCCCTTTTAATAGGCAAAGAAACTGAGGCCCAGGAAGTTTAAATACATGACTTGAAGTCAACATGGTTTTTAGGACAGTAAAATAATAACTCTTCTTTTTCCCTACACCAGCTAAAAATGAAATTCTTAATCCTATCTCACATAAAAATGCCCCAGGTGTGGGTTGAGAGAACAGCACACTTAATTGTCTGTTACCTTAAAGGAAAAAAAAAAAACGATTAGTTTTTTTTTAAATTATTTTCTGGCAAAGAGGGGAAAATTATTTATGCACTGAGATGAAGACTCACTTGTGTTGTAGATGATTTATAATCTTTTTGTTCAATTTAGATGAAATATAGCGTATTGTGAGAATAAGGATGGTGCTGGACAAACAATGCAAGTCTAGGAGAAGCACCCACAAGGCCAGGCTGTAGGCCATTGAGATACTGCTCCTGGCAGCACAGGGCTGAGCACCATGTCACAAGATGAGCAGTTTGTACTTGGCAAACTTAGTGCTGGCTTTCATTGATTGAGAAGCTGACGATTTCCCAACACTTGTGGGTTTGTCAGTCATATAACCTCATGTGCAGAGGCTTGAGTTAATCGTAATCTACCAGTCCGTGGCACAGAATCAGCGTCTACATGACCTTTCTCTTGTTTTACTTATTCATTCTCTTTCATCTTAATTCGCCATTCTCATTGCCTTCCCCAAAGGCAGCTTCCCTAACGTGTTTTACATTTAGCCTTGAACGTGGGAAACACATAGAAATGTTTGTGTGTGTATGCATTTTTCATGGATATGCGACATAACACTGTAGATTTACTATCCGTATAGATGTAGTATGGATTCCATAGTTCCTAACTTTGCTCCTTCAGCTGTTCTTAGGCTCTGTCTATGCAGTGAAATGCATATCTAGTTCTTTGTGTTTTTAGTGGGTGCAGAATATTCCAGTGTTTATCTACCACATCTGACTTTTTTATCCCTCAGTGGTGGATACCTAGGTTGTCTTTTACTCTCCACCACCCTGAACTGCTTTGATAACCATCCTAATCTTTATCCTCTTGTACACTTGGGGGAGAATTATTCTGGGATACAAGAGAGGGTTCTGATTCACAGGGAATGTACACTCAACTTCTCCAAGTACTGACAGGTCACCCTTTCGAGTGGCTCATACCAGGCCTCACCCTCACTAGAAGGCAAAAGAATTCCTGTCGCTGGGTACACCTAATACTTGGCTTTCTTCAAGGGTCAATTTTTTTTTTTTTTTGGGTCAATCTTATCAGCATGAACTGGTGGCTTGCTGCTCTGTTTAATTTGAATGTATCATATAACTAATGAGCTTGAGCATCATTTTATGCATTTGCCTCTCTTAGATTTCCCATGCTTTAAATAGTTAATCATATTCTTTTCCCATTTTTCTACTAGGATTCTTGTTGATTCGCAGCAACAATTAGTATAGTCTAGATATTAGCTCTGTGCCTTTCTCCATCACTGAAAATATCATCTCCCAATATATCACTGTCCGTTAACTATCAACAGACGTCCATCCTTGAGCAAACAACAACAGAAACTAGTAATTCCAAAATAATAAATGTCCATTTTTTAAAAAAAAGTGTTTTGTGCTACTGGAGTATTAAGAAGCCTTGCCATATTCCTAAGTTACCAAGCTGTTCTCTTCTCTCTGCTGTCATCATTGCAGTTTTATCTTTCACATCTTTCTGTATATGGTTCCAAGGTCCAGGTGACACTCTCTGACTTAAAGAGTCCCATCCCATAGCAGTCATTTCCCTTGGGGGTCGCCTCACCAAGCAGCCTGTTTTAAGAGAAACCATACCTTTGTCCTGTAATTCCTCCCTCTGAGTCAGAGGACAAGGTTGTATCCTGACCAGGAGAGTAAAGATAGAGAACACCTCCCTCCCTGAAGACTTTTCATGACGATAGTCTTCTTCCTCTCACCAGAGAAAAATTGCTTACAATCCAGGGTAAAAATAATGTCTGACTATGGAGAAGAAAATGCCGTCGTCAGCCCCTTTGTAAAATGAGCATCCTAAGCTCAGTGTCCTCAGCTGTGAAACTTTGTGTCCTTTGTGTCCTCAGCTTCCCCGGGATCCATTCTGCATTGACAGCCATGGGACCTGGGGAAAGGGGGGGAACCAGTGAAAACATGAAACTCATGTTGCCTATTGTGTCCTGAATGGTAATTTGTCTAAATTCACCTGGATTCATTGTTTACTCACTGGCCAATGTTACAGAAGTGTGAGAAGTCTGCCTAGAAGTTACCCTGATGGTTAGGAACTGCCTGGCCACTGGACAGCAGAGAAAGGAAGCTGTGGTTAATGCCCCATTGTCTTTCCTTCTCTCTCATGGAAATGGAAATGCAATGCTAGCTCTCTCCAAGTCTTCATAGAATAAAAACAGCCTTTCCCAGCCTTTCTTGCAGCTAAGTGTAACTATAGGTCTAATACTTGACCAAAGAAATGCAAGGAGAAGTAATCTGTGCAACACCTAAGGACGATTGCATGAAGCGAATGTGGTATATATACACAATGGAATACTATTCAGGTGTAAAGAATGAAATCGTCTTTTGCAGCAACATGGGTGGAACCAGAAGACAGTATCTTAAGTGAAATAAAACAGGCAGAGGAAGACATATATCACACGCTCTCATTCATAAGTGGGTGCTAAAAAATGTGTTCACATGGACAAAGAAAGTAGAGTGACAGACAATGGAGATTCAGAAGAGTGAGGGTGTTAATGGATGCAATGAATATATTACTCAAGTGATGAATAAATACTCTGAAAGCCCTGACTTGACCACTGTGAAATCTATACCTGTAACAAACTACACACGCACCTTATAAATTTATACAAATTTAAAATAAATAGAATAAGCCACATTGATCTAGTGTAAGCAAAAAATAAGTAAAACAAACACAGCAATAAATAAAAATAAGTGCCCTCAATGGAGGCGCACCCTCCTCCTTCCATTTTCTCCTTTTTGGCATGTTGGATGCAGAAATGACACCTGGAGCAGAAGCAGCCATACTGGATTATGAAGTAAGTTTAGAAATGGAGCAATGCTCCTCAGAACAAAAAGAGAGAAGGGTCAAGGTGGAAAGAGCCCAGTTCTTGATGCCATGAGTGTCACCCCAGCAGCCTCGGACTGCTGACTTAGACTTTGACATAGGAGAAAAATTAACTTCCATTTTGTTTAAACTCATTATTTTGAATTTATGTTACTCACAGCCACATCTAATCCTAACAATATGAGAGACATGGAT